TCTACAGCACAGCACAGAGATTAACTAGAATTGCGGGGAAAATGTAATGTACTTGTAAGGTAGTAATGCACTTGTTGAATTCTAAAAGAAAGAGATAGAGACATTATGAGAACTAAGCCTGGCACTTCTGTAAAACAATTTTGTAAGTTTCCTGCTAGCTTTTTATTCCTGTTTTGAATATTAACAAACTCCATAGTAAACCACCAGCTGGCACAAGGAGCAAGAAATCACAGCATGGAAACAAAGTCACTTGAAGCCTGCCCTGTAGCAGATATTTATTTGCACACACTAGGGATGCCAATTTAAGAGCTATTTGCCAATACATTCTCTAATGCTTTCTGAGCAACACTAAATGGAATGTTTGCTTTATACTCCATGGATATGTTAATGCATGTGTAAGAACAAGTTAAGCACCTTTAAAAGCCTTCTCAGGGGAATAAAAAAATAGAAAATAAGAAAATACTAAAAAAGTAAACTGTGTCTCATTGTATTTGGGGAAGAGGTCTATTTGTTTCTTTTGTGACTTGCTGAACAGCAAAGAAGCTGTTTCAATGTCAGTGGGTGCAAGACCACAAGGGTAAAAAGAAATGCCTCTCTGTCCTAATTCAGACCCTTTCTTAGCACTGCTTAAGCGACCCGTTCCAGCAGTGGGGTTAACCCTAACTAGTAAGATTGAACATTCCGGTTTTGTATTTTAAATACTAAATGCACGGAAGATCTGCTAAGGAGCCAAAGCAAGACCTTGCTTCTCCTTGAGGTGGGTGCAGCCACCGAGGTACACACTAGCACAGGGTGTTAACACAGCTCCTTGAGCTACATAGGAAAGGCACAGAAATCTGAAACAAACACTTCCAACCTGTCAAACATGTTCAAAATAACAATCTCAAAATCACTGGCCACTTTCTCTCATCACCCAGGACCCCACACAGGACTGACATAGGACCAACAGAGTGCTGTTCCCTGCCCTAACACTTTTGGCTTGCCCATGCACATGCCACACATCTCTGCTGTTAACATCACACTTCTGAGTGTCCTGCTTGCTATGCTCAAGACCTCATTTTTCACAAAAGCTGAGAATCTGATGCACTCATTCTCTTCAGTCTGATGCAGAAAAGTTGGCCTATGCCTTTCCATAATTCCACATCCCTACAAAAATTGTTGAGCTCAATTGTGCATAACGTATTTCAGATATGAAAGGAATGGTGTTATTGAAGTACAGAACATACATAGGTGTTATTTCCAAAGCTGCATTGGAAGCACAAAGATCCAGACATACAGCACTATTTTAAGACTTTGAACATTGAAACACTAAAGTTTCTTATTAATGTACAGAAATATATAAAAGCCTACAGGCATTTATAAATAAGGTTTGGTCAACTCAAGTAATTCATCCAGAACACCACAGACTTTAATTCTTATGATGAGCCCAACTTTGACATATTTTCAGCCATCAGGGGGCTGGAGTCTGAGCTGGAGGCAGAAATCATCTGGATAAAGAAAAAAACGAGTGAAACAAAGCAAGAAACTGATGTTAGAGGAGAATGCAGATACAAGACAGGCACAGAAGAAGAGCACACAACCCCCACATAAGGAGGAGAAAAAACAAAACAAGAATTTATCACTGAGCATGTGAAGAACATGGAGTCATGAAAGCAGAGGAGGAGCTGGAAGTGATATATGGTAAAAGGGAACAGGTGAACAGGTAGGTATCCCAGCTTTGAGAACAATGTCAAGAAAAAAATTTCAAAGTGAAAGCAGTCAGCAGTGAAAAACATAATAAAGAATAAAGCAATATACAAAAAAAAAAAAAAAAAAGAAAAAAAAGCACAGGGAGACGGGGAAAGAGCATAATACTACAGAAGAATTCTTGTCAAGAGTTGGAATCTAAACCTTGACCCACCAATTAGTTTTACAGTGGCCACTATGGCCAAGTAGATATCAAACATCAGGCCCTCAAGCACAAAGGCATTCACTCCCCACACTCCCAAAGCCACTGAGATGTCATCTGTACTCTGAGTCAGAGAAAATGAGGGAAAATTGTGTAGTTGAATACCTCTGGACTCAGAGGTAGTTCCACTCAGTAATTCCTCCACTGCAAGAATACTCTAGCAGATAAAAGGACGTGAAACAGCAATCAGATTTAACAAGCTCAAGGCAAATATAGGAAATGTAATACAGGACAAGTTAAAATTATTGCCTTTTAGGTTATTGTGATGAAAATTACGTGAAAAGCCAAACATCCTCAGAGTTTAAACAGCTTATGATGTTTCAAGAGCTTTAAAATAAAGGCAATGCCTTTACAGCACATTAAGTTTTTCAAACATGCCAATCGAAGCCTCTCCATTTCAGAGTATTGAGATAATGGCTACTGAAATTGATTGAAAATATTTATGTGGAAATTCTGAAAATAAAAGAAACTGAAATTCAGAGCAAGAATTTCATCCCCAGTTTAGTTCACATCATTATTAATGGGTTTTTTACAATTTTAGCATAAATAGTTTTATTGTCTAGGACTGAATGTGGGTTTTGATTCTGAGTTTGTGCCCTTTGAAAACTTTATAAAGCCGTTTGTATCTTGATACTTATTAGTACTTACTAGGGGACTAGGAATGTTAGAGTGATCCTCTCACTCTTGCTTACATGCCTGCTAACCCTCCTCCCATCAAGCCTAACATCAAGTGTGTTAGGATTGATCTAAAAATGTTAACAAAAGGGTTTTATCAGCCAGGCCACCATCCACTTTTAAATTAAACCCTTTGATAATCCAGTAGCAGACAAGACCCAGGAATTACTCAAATTAACCTGAGATTTTTATCCTAAAATCCTCCTAAAAGAGGATGCATGCAGACATGCCTACACAGAGCCCAAAGGATTACAGTGAGGTCTCACAGACAGGGACCCCACAGCAGTCTAGGTTTAGGGCCAGGAAGGGTAGCAAATGACTCCTCCTCATTGCTGGAGCTGAGCAAAGACCAAATAGCAAAGCAAAAGGAAAGAGACAAAACTTACAGCTGGGGATAACTAAAAAGAATTTTTAAAAATTTTGTAAGAAAAAGGATTTTATCTTGTCTACTCAATGTCTCTGGGAGATCCATGGGCAGGCTGGCGACACCTTGAGCACATTAGGACCTGCCTTGGAAGGGGTGCTGCTGGAAGTGTGATGAAATGGCCTGACAGTGTCTGAAGACTTTGTAGTCTCACAGAGCTGAACAGCATGGTGACAGAGTGAGGGGTGCTGCAGCTTTGAGACAGGCTGGTTTGAAGAGCTGTGTAATGCCACAGAACTCTCGGGGCGTCATGGGCAGCTGAAGGGACAGTATGACACAGCATGACACAATATGATGTAGCCAGGACTCGACAAGGCCAAGAGGGGCTGTGCTGACTCCACTGCCACAGCTCTGTGGGGCAACCTAAGCTGTCACTTCAACCCCTCAGCTCTGCTTAGTAGCGCCTGGGTGTATTGGCAGATTGTGAGGTGACTGTGAGCCCACAGTGTGCCCCTGCTGCCCATGATATCCTGTGGTGCATCAGGTGGACAGCAGGTCAAGGGAGGTGACCCTGCCCCTCTGCTCAGCCCTGGTGAGGGCACATCGAGAGTGCTCTGTCCCCTTCTGGTCTCCTCAGCACAGGGAAAACAAGGAGATACCAGACAGGATCCAGCAGAGGCCACAAAAGATGATCTGGGGTCTGAAACATCTCTTTTACAAGGAGAGACTGCATGTTCTGATGCACTGCTGGCCCTGTTCAGTCTGGAGAAGACAGAGGGGATTTTATTCATGCACCTAAATATATCAAAGGTGGGTGACAAGGGGACTCTTTTCAGTGGTACCCAGTGACAGGACAAGGAGCAGTGTCCATAAACTAAAACACAAGAAGCTCCACCTCAACCTGAGGAAGAACTTCTTTACGCTGAGGGTGGCAGAGCACCGGAACAGCTGCGCAGGGAGGTCCTGGGGTCTCCTTTCTGGAGACATCCAAGCCCCACCTGGATGTGTTCCTGTGTCACCTGCTCCAGGTGGCCCTGCCTTAGCAGGGGGGGTGGGCTGGGTGATCTACGGGGGTCCCTTCCAGCCCTGATGGTTCTGTGAACCTGGAGGGAAAGATCTGTGCTGCACGCAGTGACGTCACGGGTGGAGGTTCGGGGAACGGTGACGTCACCGCTAGTGTCACACCACGGACAGCGCTCAGAGGAGGGACCGAGGGCAACAGGGTCACACCGGGGCTGCACAGCGACCTTCCCTCTGCTGGGCTGCCGCCTCCCGCCAGGCGCCGCGGTGACGCCATGCGGGTGTGACGTCACGTCGCATGCGGTGACGCCACCACGGCGCTGCTGCCACCACGGGAGAGCGGCAAGCCCTTACCTGCCGGCGCTTGTCGGCCGCCTTGGGGGGCATGGCCGTTCCTCAGCGCAGCGGACGGCCCTCGCCGCAATCCCGCGCCCACCCGGCACGCCGGAAGTTGATGGCAGCAGCCATGGCAACGCGCCGGAAGTGGCGGATGGACCCGGCCATTCCCCAACTCCCCCCGCTCTCCCCTCGAGGGAGGAAATGGTACATCCCAGCTGCCGCTGCAAACAGAGCGCCCCGGCCCCGAGAGACTGACGGCAGGCCCCTCCCCTTAATGAATATTTCAATTGGGCGGAGCCATTGGAAATAAAGCAGCTGGGCCTCGACCTGGTGACCGAGGTCCCTCCCGCTTTATGAATATTCAATTTGGGGGGCAGGCCTCGGGCAATGGAGCAACCGGGCACAAAACTGGTTGTAGTGGTCGCGCCCTCGCATGACTATTCAGAAGAAGGCGGGGCCGCAAGGAGACCACCGTTCGGTAGCCAATGACAGCGCTCCCGCCCCTCATGAATATTCATATATGGCGGGGCAGCGGAACCCCAGCATCCGGGCCCCGAGCGAGGGACAATGGCTCCGCCCTTCATGAATATTCAGAAGGGGCGGGGCGGCGGCCGGACCCGGAAGCGGCGCGGCTGAGTCACGGCGGCGGCGGCGATGAGGCAGCCGCAGCCGCGGGCGGTGTCGTTGTCATTGTCGCTGTCGCTGTCCCCTCTCGGCGCCTGAGGAGCCGCCCGCGCCGCCCGCTCTGCCCCCCGTGCTCCGCCCGCCGCGCTCGGCGCCGCCGCCAAGATGATGGAGGAGATAGACCGGTTCCAGGTGCCCGCCGTGCGCGCCGAGATGCAGCCGCTGGTGAGGGGCGGGCGGGTGGGGCCGCGCTGTGCCCGGGTTGAAATGGCCCCGGTGCCGAGGGGGTCGCGCACACGCCCCCGGGTGTCGGCGCTGCGGGCGCGGCCGTGCCACCGTTATATAACGGGATGTCCTGGGCGCTGCCGCCATCCTCGGCGGGCCCGGGGCCGCTGCTGTGTCATCCCGGGCCATCCTCTTATCCTGCCCCCTGCCCCGTCCTCTCCTCCTCCTCCTCATCATCCTCCTCCTCCTCCCCCGGTGTGTCCCCGAGCGCCGTCGGTAGCAGAAGCGGGTGGGGGCAGGCGGGCGGCTCCGCTGCTGCCGCGATGGAAACGCCGCTCCTCCCGGAGCATCCCGGGGTGTTCTCCGCCGCAGGGCACGGGAACGGCCTGGGGACGAGGGAGAAGGACCGGGGAGCCCGGTTGTAGGTGCTGAGGGCGGCTGGGCTTTTAATTGACTTTACAAGCTGGGTGAGGTGTCTGTGGAGTAATCGGGCGGTGTTTGTGGCCAGCCCGGGCTGGGAGCTGCGCGGGGCGATGCTCCCCGGGGATAGCGGAGCTGCTCGGGGTGGGTCTGAAGTTACAAGCGCTGTGAAGCCGCAGGACCTTCTCCGAGGATGATTTTATAGCCTGCTCTCGACACTAAGCTGCAGCGAGAAGAAGCTCATCTTGTGTAAAGTCCAGGTGTTCTGCAAAGAAACATCAGCCTCTCTGGTCCAACCCGGTTGTTTCGGGATATGATGGTGGATTGGGCAGCAGTGATAGTAAGCTTAGGAAACAGTTTCCTTCAACATGGAAGAATTACAAAGAAACCATCAAATTAGCTTTGCTCACATTAAATTATTTGTGCAAGGAAAGTAATCTGTGAGGGTTTGATGCCGTGCCACCGCATGTGTTTTTCATACCAGGATGTTTTTTTCACGTCATAGACACAATTATACTCAATTAATGAGCTCTGAAGAGCCTGACATAATGGTTACACTACTACATGGGACCCTGGGGAATCTTTCAGAGAAGGAAGTCTGCAGGCTCAGAGGACTTTGCAGATGTGTAAGTGGGCAGGTAGAGTGGTCCTGGGCTTTTGATAGCTTTTGAAATGGGTTATGAAGGAAGGCCAGCTGGCTGGCAGCCAGGTGAGATGCCAGACCATCGTGAAGTAGTGCAACACTTCTTATGAGCTTGTAGCTGCATTGCTCCAATGCCCCAGGCTTGTTTGCGTATGTGTTGTGCCCCATCTGCCTGCCACAGACCTCTTGAATGTGTTTGCCCATTTCTGTTTTCTACCTGGAAAAGGTTCTGTTGTGTGTTCCCCTCCTCTTACTCCCATCTTCCTCAGTCTCTGCCTGGAGGTGTGTTATTAGTAACCTGGAGCCTGTTGAAATACCCTTCATCTTGGCATTAAAGTGAAAGCTGGATAATGAGCTTCCTTGCTCAAGGTGTTGATTCCTTTTGGCACCTGGAGTAAGCAATTCCCGTCGTGGCATCTGATTGTGTGAGACAGGCATATGAATTATTTGGGAAGGTGGAAGGAATTTCAGTGAAATACTTGCACAGTTCCTTTTGGCAGCAGGTGAGGATAGGTTGTTGCTAGGTTTGTGCCAGCACTGAAGCACTTTTGAGATTTCTAACATATCAAACCATACGTTATTTAGAGTTGATGTAAACACAGCCTGATGTAAACAAGGTTCCTTGTTGCAGTTAGTGTTTGTAAGAAGTTGAGAGCACCATAAATGTCTTGTGAACAGAAAAGCTCTTCAAGGTCTACAGACTCAAATTATCTTTCAGTGGCAAGAAATACATTTCTCTTATTGTGGGAGCGTTGATAAATTCTGAAAATATGCTTAGTTAGGGTTGCATTCTGGGTTTGCTTGTTTTTGTTTTGTTTTGTTTTTTGTTGGTTGTTTCTTTGGCTTCAGACCTTTGTGGTGGGCAAAAAACTGTCCATACAAGCTGATACGGGCTTGTTGCCTTCCCTACTTATTTTTGATGTTTTTATATAGGAGACTCAACAAATGTGACAAGAATGGCCATCTTAATTGTTTTATTGAAGGCACAGTAGTCAAAGTAGCAAGTTTGAAAAAGCTGTTGCAAGACAAAACAGTACTCTAAGTGTTTTCTAGAAAATCCATGATAATAGTGGAAGAGTGGAATTTGCAGATACATGCATGTTTGCATGGACATGAACCAGGAAGAATCCAAACAGCGTCTCTGGTCCAACCCAGGGAAGAATATGATGGTGGATTGGGCAGCAGTGATAGTAAGCTTAGGAGACCGTTTCCTTCAACATTAGAATTAGAAAATTTTCACAAAGAGCTTTAACATTTGCATTAAAAAAATACTCTGTGCTTCAGGTATTCAATTCTTTTTGACTACTGGAGCTCATAGTGAAACCTGTTGGTTTTGGGGGTCTTGAGTGTTCAGAGGTCTACACACACAATTGTTGTGATTGGGTGTATAGGATTTTTCCAGAGGCGTGGAAATGCTGACAGTGGTCTCAGAAGTGAGATGTAGCAAGTCTGGTACAGCATTTCTGGTGTGTTCCTCTGCTTTGTAGCTCCTGGTGTGTACTTTGCAGATAGGGACTGGATACTTGGAAGAATCCTTGCCAGTCTGGGATTTCTCATATTAATTTGTTTGGGTGATGCAGTTCTGGCCAATGCTACTTAGTGCCATTACAGTTACTGTGTGTCTGTCACTCTCCCTCCCATTCTGTACTTTTAAGGTTGCAGTTTAAACGCAGTTAACAAATAAATCACTCACAGCCACTTGCTCACTTCCCTCCCACATCAGGATGGGGGAGAGAATCAGACAAGTAAAAGTGAGAAAACTTGTGGGTTGAGATGAAGACAGTTTAATAAGTAAAGCTAAAACCATGCACACAAGCAAAGCAAAACAAGGAATCTATCCACCATTTCCTTTGGGCAGGCAGGTGTTCAGCCATGCCCAGAGAAGAAGGCAGGGCTCCATTACACCTGATGAATACTTGACAGGACAAATGCCTCCAAAAAAATCACCCTAAACATTCCCTCCTAGTCCTTCTTCCTAGCTTTGTATGCTGAGCATATGGTATGGAATATCCCTGTGGTCAGCTGGGGTCAGCTGTCCCATCTGTGGGCCTGCCCAACCTCTTGTGCACCCCCAGACTCCTGGCTGGTGGGGTGGGGTGAGAACGTGCTGCCCAGCAATAACCAAAACATCCCTGTGTTATCAATACTGTTTTCAGCACAAACCTAGAGCACAGCCCTACAGTAGCCACTGTGAAGGAAATGAACTTCATCCCTGTCAAAATCAGTACAAAAGTAGAGAATTACAAGAGAACCTTGTAATCTCAGGATTTACTGTCTACTTCCCAGTTTAAAAGCTTTCACTTCCAATGGTCTCAGGGAGAGATGCATCTGTCACTCTTTTCCACATCCAGAAAGCTGAAGTAAAAGTTTGTTTTTCATGTGTTACCTAAAGTCATCATGACTTGCCACTGAATCTGTATATAAAAATAAATGTTTCTAAACATAATTCCCTGCTAAAAGCAAACAAATAAGGTCCCTTGCTTGATTTATAGAGTATACAACTGGATGAAATATTTTTTCATCGTGTTCCAACGGGAACAGGGTGTCCCAGGAAAGCACTGTTCCCTGTGAGTGCTGGCCAGTGTGTGGCAGGTTCTGAAATGAGGTTTATGAAGCTAGGGTTTGCTCAAAATCCTGACCATTGTGTTGTTGACCTGCATGCATGCTTTTGAATGTCTGTTCATCTGCATGGATACAGTGTCATCTTAGCTTTTGATGTCTTTTGATGTCCCTGAACTCCAGGACAGCTGCTGCTGATCTGCCTGGAAACCATCTGACAGGCCCCCTGGTCTGCCCATCTTCAAAATTAAAGGATTGGCTTCTCTTTGGCATGTAGCAGCTATACCTTTCTTAGAACACAGTCTGAAACCTTTCTGAACCGTTCCAACCTCCAGACCTGCCACTGCCACTTGTGCTATTTATTGATCAGCTGTCTGTCAGGGGTGATAGTACACTAATGTCTGGTGTCTGCTGGCAGCACATCCTGACAGTAACCAGTGCTTTATTTACAGACCAGGGACAGAGAACCTGACATGGCTTTTTGCAAAACGAAGTTCTTCAAAGCTAAAATGTGTCTGGTTGGGGAACATTGTCTCTTTGACAGCCTTGTCCCACCGAGGTCTCTGTTGGCTTCCCATTGCGAGGCTAAGGGCAGCACCCAACTAGTGCAGGCTGGACAAAGCCCACCAGGATCTCTGGTTGCTGCAAGTTTCTCTCTGCTGATAACAAGTCAGATAGGGATTATGTTGCAGAGCTGAGAGGCGTTTGGCCTGCAGGTTGCATGTTGGCCAGGTCTGTCATGTGTGCTCTCCAGCACTTCACATTGGATGCAGTGATGTGAAATTAATGAGGTGGGCAGTCATTTTCCTCGTCTTTCCAGCTTGTTTGGATAAGCATTGTGAAGTCAGGCAAGCTGGCTTGACTCTGTGTGACCTCTGCAAATGTGTTTTGAGAACTGCTGGGTAACTGATGTGCACCCAAAAGAGAGGTTCAGCACAAGGCTTAATGGGACAGAGTTGCTATGTGCAGATGGACAAGATGGCATGCAGTACCTGGTAACCTGGATTAACCCGGTTAAACATCATCCAGTTGTCAGATGGGATGAGGCCCAGTGTTTCAAACCTTGGAGAGACACGTTACACTGCATATTTTGATGTTGTGGTACAATTCTGTACATTTTCATCCTGGAAAAGAAGACAGACTGGTCACTGGCACTTTGTCACATTCATGTCATGCCTGTCCATTAAAATGGAACTGTTTGTTCTGATGCACATTTCCATTCTTGTATATTGGTCACATTTGGCTTCTATTCTAAAAATGTCTGCCTTTTCAAATTAATATAAACTAATTTACAGGGTGTTCTGTTTACTCCTAATGTTTTGTGTCACGCCATCTTTATCAACATCATGCAAGCTCAACTGCAGGAATTCTGTCCTGC